CGCCCGCCACTATGCCTGCTCCCGCAGCGGCGGGCGGCGGCGCCCCCGCGCCCGCGCCCGGCGGCGCGACAGTGGCGAGCGCACCGACCAGGGCCGCGCCCCCGCCCGGAGGGCCATTTGCTGACGCGGCGGGCGCGCCGACGGGCGCGCCGAGAGCCGCGAGGCCTCCGCCTCCAGCGCCTCCAGCGCCGAGCCCCAGCGCGGGGGCCCCCGGCACCGCGGCCTCGCCTCCCACAGCGGGCGGGGCTCCTGGCGCCAACGGCGGGAGGGGCGCTGCGCCTGGGCCGGCGCCCTGGCCGCGGCCCCTGCCCCGGCCTCGTCCAGCCAGCGCCTTGGCCACCGCCTTCGCCTCAGCTTTGAGCTTGGCCTTGGCCTTGGCCTTGCTTGGCTTTAGCCTTCGCCTTCCACTTAGGCGGCATCCTCGAGCTGCCTCAGCGCCCGGAGGACCGCCATCAGGTGCCGCTCCTCGGCCAGCAGCACTGTCCTCTCGCTCGGCGTGAGCGCTGCCCCCTGCGCGCTCAGCCGGGCCAGGCCGAGGACGTAGCACAGCTCGCACACCTCCAGAAGCGCCCCCCGCACTGCCAGCGCCAGCGTCTCGCCGACCAGGAGGGCCCCGCCGCAACAGCCACTGGGCCGACGCGGGACCTGCTGCCGATCGCCCGGCGCGCTGGGAGGCGGTCCCTCGGGAGGGGCCCGGGGAGGCGCCAAGCACCCCCCCCTTCGGGGGCCCCCAAAAACTTGAGCTGCAAGTGCAACTATGCCCTGCATTATCTTCTGCGGCCATGCCTGCCTCGACCCCTGTGCCCCTCTCATTCATTTACCGTAAACGATTACATACGCATGTGTGTATACATAACTACATACATATACACATACATAGAGTACAAACTATAGTATATATAGTATATGCGTATGTATGCATGTATGCATGTATGCATGTATGCATGTATGCATGTATGTATGTATGTATGTATGTATGTATGTATGTATGTGTGTATGTGTGTATGTATGTATGTGTGTATGTATGCATGCATGCATGCATGCATGGATGGATGGATGGATGGATGTATGTATGTATGTATGTATGTATGTATGTATGTATGGATGGATGGATGGATGGATGGATGGGTGTATGTATGTATGTATGTGTGTATATATATACACAGATCCCATCCCAGGAGTCACCATGTTTTCCTACATGGTCTTGGCTTTCGTAGGATTCCTACTCGTTCCCCATCGTTTCTGGGTGTTCATCCCCCCCCCACTCTTCCCATATGTTCCTATATTTTCCTGGGGGTCGACGATCAATTGTGTCTGTGTGTTCTTTCCCCTCCTGGTCTAGGGTTTCCCATACTTTCTGGGTTTTCGTCTCTCCCCCCACTGCCCATAGTTTCCTGTATTTCCATGGGCGTCGACGTAAAATTGTGTCTGTATGTTTTTCCCCCTCCTGGTCCAGGGGTGCCGCTACGGTCCTCAAGGGCCGCCGCGGTTGTCCCCGTCCTCTCCAGAGGTTGAGGTTGGCCGCCCAATCCCCGAAACACTGTTGCGAGATACGCCTTTCGCATCCGAGACACATCGCCAACGTATCGGCCATGACTCCTGATGCCGCGCGGCCGGGAGAAGGCCAGAGAAAGAAAGCGGATGGGCCTTCCAGCTAGGCACCTGCTTCACAGGAACGCCGTAAGCCAGGTACTGGCGGCTGAGCACTGCAGCCGCCGCAGCAACCACCTGCGGCCTGTACACCAGGAACGAAGAGTCTGCGAGCCATCTTTGCGCGCCATCTCTGTTTCTCTCTTCCAGTATCTCTCGCTCTCTCTCTCTCTCTCTCGCTCGCTCTCTCTCTCTCTCTCTCTCTCTGCAGATGGTCTCTCTTTCTCTCTCTCTCTCTCTGTCTCGTCTCTCTCTCTCTCTCTCTCTCCCCTTCTTCCATAGATGTACTCGTCGCGTCTCCCATCGCGTTTTCCGCCTTGCCTTGGCAGCTGCTCCTCCCGCCCGCTCCTCCTTCCCCTACCGTGGTGGGACAAAGATTCCCCCCAAGACAACAGTTGAAGCTCCAGAGCAAAGCTGGATCGGCAGACTAGTTACTCCAGATTTCGTAATAAAGGGAGGGGGGTCTCATTTCGGGGGGGGGGTCTCTTCCAAGCTATCTTGGAGGGCCTGGGGGGTCTGGGGACGATGTTTTGGAGGGTTCTCCCACGGGGGAGGTCTGAAATGGCTTGTCTTGGAGGGTCCAGACCCCCTCCCTTTTATTACGAAATCTGGAGTAAATGCGAGACGCGTGCTGAGCCATGGGGGAGCGAGCACAAACAAACTCTGGACTCTCGTCGTTTTTTCATGTGGGAAAGCGGGGGTCTCTAGACCCTGGTATCTGTCTGTCGAAGGTCCGATGTGGGGGGCGTACTTGACTCGAGAGGTCATGCAAGGGGTGCAGTTGTTATAAAAATCTACCGACCGGCGTGTGTGAGAGGCTCTTCGGCGCGAGGTCAGCCCAACTCAAACCAAAGTGCCCAAGCATCCTTTGAATCGTTGTCGTCGCACGCGAGATCGAACAAATAAAGGAGATCGAACAATGTCGTAAGTCTGTCGAAAGGAAGCACCTGCCCTTTCCCTTCCCCGCGGAGGGGGGGTCCCGAGGAAGGGCCTGGCACGGGTCCCGGGGGGATCCCCGGGTCCCAAGGGGGGGGCTCCTGAGAGGATTCCTGGGGGTCGTAACCCCCACATGGGCGGTCCCCGGGCCCCCCTTATGGAAAACGAAACCAAGGGTGTGATCTCCCTGTCGGCACTGGAGCTGGGGACCCTGACCTTCCAGAGAGCTATTTTTTAGCACTGGAGACCTAAAAACCTAAAAAACGAAACGAAACAGCTTAAAACCAATACATAGCATAGCTCTGGGATAGGTTTTTAGGTCGGGTGCTATTTAGCCCTCCTGGAAGGTCAGGGAACCCCTCCCCCCCCCTCGGCTCAGGCCCCGGCCCTTGCCCTGGCCCCGGTTCCGGCCCCGGCCCTGGCGTGGGTCTCGGCCACAGCAGCCCAGCCACAGCCCTGGGCCCGGCCCTGGCCCCAGCCGTGGCCTCCCCAGTCCCGGCTCCGGCCCCATCCCCGCCCAGCCAATGCCCGAGCCCGAGCCCCTGCCCCAGCCCTGGCCCCAGCCCGCCCCCGAGGAGACAGACGGCTTTCCTCCTTCTCCTCCTCCTCCTCCTCCTCCTCCGCCTCCTCCTCGTCCTCCTCCTCCGCCTCCTCCTCCTCCTCCTCCTCGTCCTCCTCCTCCGCCTCCACCTCCTCCTTCTCCTCCTCCTCCTCCTCCTCCTCCTCTGCCTCCTCCTCCTCCTCCTCCTCCTCCTCCTCTGCCTCCTCCTCCTCCTCCTCCTTCTCCTCCTACTCCCTCTCCTCCTTCGCCTCATTCTCCTCCTCATCTTCGTCGTCGTCGTCCTCCTCCTCCACTTCCTCCTCCTCCTCCTGCTCCTCCTTCTCCTCCTCCTCCTCCTCCTGATCGTCCTACTGCTCCTCCTAGCCCGCCAGCGCCGCCAGCGTGGCCCAGCCGCCGCCGGCTCGCGCCCTGCGCACTGCGTCCCGCCGCCCGCCGCCGCCGGCCCTTGCCGGCGCGCCCTGCGCCCCGGCGGCGAGCGGCCCGCCCGTCGTTGTCGTTGTTCGTCGTGGTCGTCAGCTCGTCGTGGTCGTCGTGGTCGTTCGTGGTCGTGGTCGTGGTCGTGGTCGTGGTCGTGGTCGTGGTCGGCGTCGTCGTCGCTGTTGTCGTCGTAGTGGATCGGCGGAACCGGCCGCAAAGCCTTCACAATATAATCCGCACCCATGTTTATCAAGGATAGTTCCGCCGACCCTCTTCAGTCTTGGCGCCGAGGACGAGCTTACCAACTCGAGGAGAACCCTGGGCCCACGCCCTTCCCAGGAACAATGCGCAGTCGTGCGCATCAACCCCGCGCTTGTCTAAGGGAGGGGGGGGAGAAGGGGGAGCGGCCACAGCGCTGACCCCACCAGATTGAAACAACTTTTTTTGTTTTTGTTTTTTTTGCGCGAGCAGTGGAGATGACGACTTCAAGGGGGGCTGCTCACCAGAAGCCCTCCAGACACGAAAAGCGCGCCAAGTCCTCGGGGAGCGGCTGCCCACGGGCTCCATTGGCCCGGCGGCCGCCCCGAGTCGGCTGCACGCAGGAGTGGCCCTGCGCGGGCTCCGATTGAAACAACTGCAGCCGTCGTGCTACCACAAGGAGCGGGCTCTTCAGGCCACGGAGGGCCTGGGCGACAAGGAGGCTCCACGACAGAAATCTAAGGAACGGCCCGACGGCCCGCGCCCCTCCTGCGCCCCACACGGTCCTCCTGTCGCCGCCTTGACTGCACGGGAGGCGCGTGCGGCGTCGGCGTGCGCAAAGGTTTGCCGACACCGCGCCGATCGCTCAACCTTGAATCGATCGCGGCCCCGATCGCTCAAGGTTGAGTCCCGTCGGCTCCGGTGGCGTCACCGTGTGCCTCGGTGCCTCCGCGCCGCAGAACTCAACCACGATCGCCTTCGCCGGCGTCGCCGGCGCGCCAACGCCGCGTGAGCCTACCGTACCCGAGGCAGCCCCAGTCTGGGCCAGGGGGGCGAGAGAGGGGGCAGGGCCTCGCGAAGGAACGGCGGAGGGAAGAAGGCGCCGCGGCGTGCGGGGCCTCGCCGCGGGCAGCCCGAGGTTCTGAGGCAACTCGAGGCGGCCTACCATCTTGCTGGCTCTTGCGAATTTGCGCAAAGCTGCGCGAGTCGGCGCTACAGTCGGGGCGTTGACCGAAGGAACCCTAAATAAGGAACGAGGCCCCTTTTTTCCATAAGTTAAACTTTGGATTTCCGATCAAAAACATAAGGAAAACCTGAGGCACGACTGTAGATCGGCAGGTCCTCGTCGACTTCAGGACTCCATCGCGCGCTGGCGCACGCAAGGACACACGAGGCTCTTAGGGCTCCCAGCCGAGCCGACGGAAACGGGGGCGACGTCCTGTGACGGCGAGCTCGATCAAGTAGTTGGCCAGGCTGAAGCTCTCCTCACGCGAGGCTCGGAGCAAGCTGCCAGCGGCCCCGCTCGACAACCCTTCTCTTGCCGTCTCCCGTGCAGCCCTGCTGACACAAAGGGCACCTTCCCGCTTGAGTCTGATCGAGACTCGAGACTCGAGGCCCTCCTGAGGTTCTCTCGGGGCCTTTTCGAGAGCTTCCCGAAGCAGCCTGCATCGGCACAGCTAGAGGAGCGCCAATGAGACAGGCGGGCTTCCAAGTGAGGACGCCCCGTCGCTGAACCCTTGCACGGAATAACTTGAAGGGGCCCTGGGACACACAAATAAATACACACACATAAAAAGATTCCCCATATGTTCGCACATCTTCTGGGTTCTTGTCTTCCCCACCGCTTCCCATACTTTCACATATCTTCCAGGAGATCGAAGACTCATGGTGTCTGTGTGTGTCTTTCCCTCCTGACAAAACTCTGCACCTCGTCCCTGGCCCGCTCCCCACTCCTGCTGCCAGGAGCAAGCGGTGCTCGTGCTCGCCAGTGCTCCCTTCTAGTTCTAGCCGCTGCACCTCGCCACAGGTAGAGCAGACGGTGTCTGCAAGTCGTGCGTCGGACATGCCTCGGGTTGACCCCAAAAGGGGGTCCAGCGACAAGGGGGTGGTGCCATAGATCTGGTGCAATAGATTTGCGGGGTTGCAATACACTTGGGGCGTGCAGTACATTCCGGGGCGCAAACGTATTGCTGGATTTTCGCGTGCCATACATTCGTTGCAATACACTGCAATACACTTCTCCGGCGCAGTACGCTTGCAATGCACTCGCCCCAAATATATTGCACCACCCCTTTGCAGCTGGACCCCCTTTTGGGTGGAGGAGGATGCCTGCCCGTGTGCGAAATCCGCCGACCGTGTCCGCGTGTGTGAGGGGCTTGTCCGTTCAAGTCGTCATCTCCGTCATTCGTTGGTCGTCGTCTCTGTCGTCCCCTTTCCCTGCCTCCCCCCTTTCCCTGGGCTCGTCGAAGCTCCCCCCTTTCCCAGGGACCCCCTCAGTGCGTTAGCCAAAGCGAAAATAAGCAACGTCGTAATTAAGTCGAAGGGAAGCCCCTTCCCTTCGATCCCTCCCCCGCCGGGGGGGGGGGGGGAGGAGGGGGTCCCGGGGAGGGGGGGGGCCGACGCCCTGGGGGGGGTCAGATACGACACCCCCCCCTGGGAGTCCTGGAGCCCCCAAAAGCCCCAAGACGGGCCAAGAGTGCCCCAAGAGGCCCCAAAGACAGTCCAAGAGAACCCCGAATCGCCGAACGATCTGTCCAAGACGCCTTGACGGCCTCCAGACGGCCCAAGAGACCTGCAAAGCGCCCCTGAGAGGCCTCCAGGAGCTCTCTCACGAGAGCCCCAACAGGCAACATTCATGGATTTCCCATACGTGTTTGAAAGATTTTGGCGTTCTTGCCTCTCTTCCGCTTCCTGACACGCCAAGACGGCCCAAGAGGCCCCCAAGATCGCCCCGAGACGGCCCAAGAGGCCCCCAAGAGGGTCCCCTAACGGCCGAAGAGGGCCCCAAGACGGCCCAAGACGCCTCCAAGACGGCCCAAGAGGCATCGAGACGGCGCAAGAGGAGCCCTGGACGGCCCAAGACGGCCTCAGTAGAGCCACAGGCTGTCCCGAGAAAGCCTCTGGCCTCCCCCTCCTCTTCCTCCTAGTCCTCCTCCTCCTCCTCCTCCTCCTCGTCCCCCCCCCCCTCTGCTCCCCCTCCTCCTGCTCTCCTCTGCCTCCTCCTCCTCCTCTTGCTTCTCCTCATCCTTCTCCCCCCCCCTCCTCCTCTCTCATCCACCTCCTCCACCCTGCCGCCCCCTCGTTTTCATCTTCGTCGCTCTCAGGGTCGGCGGCAACGGCCGTAAGGCCTTCGCAATACAGCGGGGCCTGACGATGTGAAGGCACTCCTCGTTAATTACACTGCGACGCACCCAACCCTTTCTAAACATGCTGCGACTATACACAGGACCACCCAATACTAACGAACACATTGAAAGACCCGCAGTGCGCAGGAACACCTCATCGTGCGCAAGGAGCCGCGAGGTCTCGGCTGGGTCTGCGTGACCCTCCAACCCGCTGGACCTCCCAGGAGCCCACGAGAATGGCGACAGCTGCGCACGTCGCAGCCACCCGGGGAGCTGCGAAGTCTCGGCTGGATCTGCCTACAACTCCTCTCCGCTGGACCGCGCAAGAGCCCATGAAGGTGGCGACCGTTGCGCAGCTCACAGCCCCCACGGGAGCCGCGAGGTCTCGGCTAGGTCTGCGTGGCCACCACTGCGCGGGACCGCCCATGAGCCCACGAAGGTGGTGACCGTTGCCAACTTCGCAACCACCCAGGGAGCCACGTGGTCTCGGCTGGGTCTGCGCACAACTCCTCCCCGCTGGACCGCCCAGAGGCCCACGAAAGTGGCGCAAATTAAGAATTCGCAGACCCCAGAAACCATGAGGTCTCAATCTGCGTTGCCCTCACCTCCGCAGTGCCTCCCAGGAGCCCGCGAAACTGGCGACAATTGCGCAATGCGCGGACCCCAGAAGCGGCGAGGTCTCGTTGTGATCTTCTCGACTCCGCCGTGCCTCCCAGGAGCTTACGAAAATGGCGTCAATTACGCAGTTCGCAGGCCCCGACGGAGCCGCGATGCCCTCACCCACGCCGTGCCTCCCCGGAACCCGCAAAAGTGGGGACAATTACGCAGTTCTGCAGCCCCCAAGGTCGCCGCGAGGTCTCCAATGATCAGTGCTGCACTGCTGTCCGCCCTGCCTCGCGACGCTGACAACAATTGCGCAATCCCGCCCCCCCCCCAGGGGGCCGCGAAGTCCCGCCTGGATGCGCGTGCAACTCCACTCCGCTGGACCCCACAGGGAACCGCGCAAGTGACCACCTTTGCGCAATTCCGCATCCCCCCCAGGGGGCCGCGAGGTCCCGCCTGGATGCGCGTACAACTCCACTCCCCTGGACCTCCCAGGAGCCCACGAAAGCGGCGACACTTGCAAACTTCGCAGCCACCCAAGGAGCCGCGCGGTCCTGCCTGGATGCGCCTACAACTCCACTCCGCTGGAGCTCACCAGAACCCAATCAAGTGGTGACTGTTGCGCAGTTCGCAACCCCCCAGGGGGCCGCGAGGTCCCGTCTGGATGCGCGTGCAACTCCACTCCGCACACGCTGGACCTCACCAGAACCCAAGATAATTGTGTCAATTGCGCATTTCGCAGCAAGTCAGCGAGCCGCGAGGGCCAGTCTGGATGATACGCGTGCAACTGCACCCCGCTGGACCTGCCATGATCGCACGAAAGTGACGACACTTGCGCAGTTCGCAGCCAGCCATGGAGCAGCGCAGGAGGAGGCAGGAGGGCGGAGGAGGAACAGGAGGAGGGGAAGGATTGAGAACACAGTGCTCCATTCAAAACGAGAACCCAACACAGGAGGGTTGGGACTGCATCATCTGAAATGTCTGTAAACTGATGGCGCTTGCCCTGTTCAACCACAGCCTTTTAGCAGCACGGGAGACTTCAAGAGGTACTCGCACCGCGGGGGCTTTCAGCGCCGTGACACCACAACGCTGAACTCTGCACAACGACATACCTGCACACGCACCACGGCATGCAAATCTACATGCTCATTTGATATGTGTATATCTATATATACACATATGCGTTATATATATATATATATATATATATATATATATATATATATATATATATATATATATATATATATATATATATATTATATATATATATATTATATATATATATATATATATACACACTAAAACCATGCGCGCGCTTCGCGCGCCGTGGTTCTAGCACGTTCTGGTTGTAGTCCAAAGTGTTCGGTGTCGAAGGACATGTAGTGTCACACGGATCGTGCTCCTCGGGGAGCTCCGCCGGCGGCCCCAGATACAGGCTTCATTCGGGGAGACGTAAGACCCGGGTACGGGGGACTCGGAAATCCCCGACGAGGTCGTCAAAAAAATGACGAGGCCGAGCCTGCATTTTGACGAGGCCTCCCGCTGCAGACATCCCACGAAACTCCTCCTCGTCAAAATCCGAGTCGCGGTCGTCAAAAAACGATGGCGAACCCGAGTCCCGGCAAACCCGGGTCTTACGCTCCCCCGATTCATCTAGTGTCCCCTCGCCCATGCCGGGACACCCCTCAAAGGGATCGCGCCCCGCAAGGGGTTCGCATAGTGGCACGCCCGTCGTGCGAATCGTAGCCAGCAAAGAACTGCATTTGCGGCACCCGAAGGCAGCTTCATGGCGTCGCCCGGCTTACTTCGGCACACCTCTCCCACGGATCGTGGCCCGCAGGGAGTTCCACGGACGGTCCCAGAGGCAAGTTTCGCATGCCGCCCCCCTCGCCTACTTCGGCACACCTCTCTCACGGATCGTGACCCACAAGGATCTCCACCTATGGCCCCAGAGGCAGGGTTCGCAGTCCCCGCCCATTGCAGCACACCCCATCACGCGGATCGTTCACACAAGGAGGAACAACACCTAAGGGCCCCGAGACAAGCTTCAGGCAACGCCCCTCCGCCCACGTTGGCACACCCGTCACGCGAATCATGCCCCAGAATGAGCTTCACCTATGGCACCAAAGGGCAGCTTCGCACGGCGTCCGCCCGCCCATTTCGGAGCACACCTCGCACGGATCGTGCCCAGAGGAGCCCCAGCTGCGGCTTCAATGGGCGTGTTCGCGCGGGGGCATCCGAACCATTCGGCACACCCGCGAATCGTGCCCCACATGGAGTTCAGCGCGCCTGTACACGAATGCTCCGCAGCAGCCGCACCCCGCCTTCCGCGTTGCCCCGCGGCGCGCAATATGTGAAGAGAGACCCGCGCCCTGCGATACACATGGCTGCATAAGGATGCCAATTGCTTTTTATATATGGCCTTCGGCCAATACCCCAACCGTGCCAAAGTTTTGGGACAGAGACCGCTTGGACACCTGTAGGGAATTCGAAGTCTCTTGGCATCCTTCTCGGGCAGCTCGTGGAACGACCTGGCCTCTTCGGCGCCGTTTGGGGACCTCTTGGGGCCTCTTCTGGGGGCCCCTGGGGGGCCTCTGAGGGGCCTGCGGGCGGCCTCTCAGGGGCCCACTGGGAGCGGAGGCTCGACAAGTCCGCTGGAATCCGCCCTCTTGGATCCCTCTTGGGGCACTCGTGGGCCGTCTTGGGCGCCACTTGGACCGTGCTGGGGCCCTTCTGGGCCCTTTTGGAGGCCTCTTTTGGACCGTCTTAGGGCAAGATTCGGGGCCTCCTGGGCCATTTCGGGCGATCTCAAATTCCAACGTGCGAGTGTGCTTACCGTGTGCGCACTTCGTAGGGACATGGAACAATTTTGGCCTCCAAGGGCCCTCTCGGGGCGCATCCTGGAGCCCTCGTAGGACGTCCTCGGGGCCACTGAAGCCGTCTTGAGACAATCTTCGAGCGTCTTCCGCCCTCAGGCCGCTGGTCTAGAGGCCTCCTAAATGGGTTCCGAGTAGATGGGGTCGGAGGATCGCGCCATCGCCGATGCATCCCGATGCATCGGCGATGCATCGGCGATGCATCGGCGACGTCGGCGATGCATCGGCGACGTCGGCGTGTGGAAACACGGTCTCCGCATGGAGCCGCATCGGCGATGCATCGGCGATGCCTCGGGATCCACCGACCACATCTACTCCGACCCCATCTTCGGAAGCGGCCAAGAGGGGGGTGTCCAAGAGGGGTGTGTGTGTGTGTAAATAATAACCGGCGGCATGTGCGCGGCCCAGCGGGGGGGCCGGGAACGTAATGAAATAAGAAGAGGCGTCATGAAATCTGGGGAAATATCATGGCCACCGCCATGATATCCACCCCCCCTAGTCATCACCCCACTCTTTGCCGCCCCCGACATCTAGGAGGCCTAGATGGTCGCTTTCTGGTGGCCTCTGGAGCCGTTCCGAGCGGAGAGGGAGGGGCCTGGGAGGCCCCAGACAGGGTGCAACATGCCGTGGGCCAGAAGGGGGGAGGGACTCTGGGAGGGTGTCCCGACCCGGGTTCTGAATCCAAGGTACCCTGGCATATATTTATATATATATGTATATACATACACATACACATATACATATATACACACATGTATATACAAATAGATACATACATATACATACAAACATAGAGAGAGAGAGAGAGAGAGAGAGAGAGAGAAAAAACGAAAAGAGAGTATGCATATATGCATATAGAGAGAGAGGGGAGAGAGAGAGAGAGAGAGAGAACAAAAACAAAGAGAGAGAGAGAGAGATAGAACGAGAGTGAGAGAGAGAGAGAGGGGCGGCTTCACCAGGACTTCCTCATAATTCCATTGGCAGAGCCCCTGCTTGGAACATACCCATCCCCGCCCCCTGTGTCCTGTCCTCGGGACCTCTCCCCCCACGGCCCCCCCAACCCCTTACCCTCTCCAGTCCTCTTGTCCCGCCTCTCCTCCAGTTGATTCCATCCCCCGATCTGCTGCGGTAAACCTATCAAAACGTCGACCAGTCGATCTTCCAACAGGTCAGACAGCCTGCCAACTAACCAACCAGCCGACCAACAAGCCAACCACCAGCCAACCAACCAGCCAGCCAGAAGGACAGCCGAGCTGACAGTCAGGGCGCCACCCAGCCAAGCGGCCAACACATCAGGCAATCGGCCAACCAACCAACAGAACACAGCCAACCGACCAGCCATCCATCCAATCGATAAGTGGGGCGTGCGGACCCAGACATCCAGCCACTCCAAATTTCTAGATGCGTTGGCCCCGGAGGTCCGGACCACTTCTCTAAGGCCAGTTTTTCGTCATCAATCGTTTATTGACGCTCCCGAAGCCCGGCGAGGGCCCCCCAGAGGCCGAAAGCGGCCAAAACCCGCCTGCTCAAAGTTTTGTTGGAGCGTCGGATCTGCGGGGAGGGTGGGGTAGCCCTAGGACCAGAATCCCCACGCAATCCGGTCGATAGGCACCCAAAGGGGGAGTTTCAGGAGGGGAAAAAACACACAGACACAATTAATCAGCGATTCCCAGAAAATATAGGAAAATATGGGAAGTGGGGGGGAAGACAAAAACCCAGAAAATATGAGAAAATATGGGGGATATTTTTATTTGTGTGAATTTTTTTGTGTGTCCCAGTTCCCCTTCAGAGTTGGAAGCGGGCGGGGCGTCTGCGCTGGATGGGCCCCAAGGGCATCGGTCAAGCGGGGGGCGGACAAGGGCAAGCCCGCACAACAAAATTGTCCCTGGACCCTCCCCGGGGTCCAAACGCACCAGTTTTTCGAGCCGCGCCCAGCCGTGGCGACACGAGAAGCCCCCCGAGAGGTCCAAGCAAGGCGACAGAGGGTCCCCTCCTCCCCCGTTCCGCTGGCCCAGAGCGAAGCTGGGCCACCTCGGCCCCCAGCTGGCCCCCACGAAGGAGCACCCCGGGTCGCGCCCCGCCCGGCGGTGGCCGGACCCTCCTCGGTCCAGCCCGTGCGGCGCAGGAAGCGGCGCAGGAACGTGTCCGCCGCGCTGCTCTCGGCAAGCGTTGGGCGTGCCAGGGCGCTCGCTGGCTGTCTGGCACGGCTTTCTGACAACGTCCAGCGGCGACACCAAGGCATCGGGAAAAGATCGAACGGAGATCGATCGGGGATCCGTGGGTCCCGGCGGCTCTGGAGGATGCATCGGGCGCCGCGGGCGCTCCAGAGCGCTCCACAGCGCCCTCAGAGCGTTCCGAACGCTCTGGACTGATTGATCCATCCCGGTCCTGGCCCTGTCCGAGTAGCGAGGAGGAGCGAGGAGGAGGAGGAGGAGGAGGAGGAGGAGGAGGAGGAGGAGGAGGAGGTGGAGGAGGAGGAGGAGGAGGGGAGGAGGAGGAGGAGGAGGAGGAGGAGGAGGAGGGAGGAGGAGAAGGAGGAGGAGGAGGAGGAGGAGGAGGAGGAGGGAGGAGGAGGAGGAGGAGGGAGGAGCCCCCACCCCACCATGGCGAGGGGCGCCGGAGACCGCCCTCCACGGGAGCTCCAGAGCGGCCTCGAGCCCCAGGCTCCCAGTGCCGACACCAGCCTCCCTAGAGGCCCAGGGTGCGCCCGAGCAGCCACGAGGGGCCCCTGGGCAGAGCCGCAGGTCGACACACACGCTGCGCTGAACCTTGCACTCTCCAGTGCTGGATGTCGAGATTCCTCTGCGCGCTTCTACGGGGCCCAACAAAAATAGGCACCACCACCGCCTCCCTCTGCCCCCCCCCCCCTCTCCCAGGAGAGAGGAGAGGAAGAGGAGGCTGGAGGAGGGGAGGGGGATGAAGGTGGCGGTGGTGTATATTTTTGGGGCCCCCAGTTCCAGTGCTGCGCTGGCACGGTGGCGGGATGTGCCGCAGGCAGGTGGATAGATGGTGGGCTGGTGGAGGCGGGAGCCCAGCGCCTGGGGAAGCGCTGGCAGACTCTCCAAACTACGGCTGAGCATTACCGTGGAGGCCAGTCCACAAGAAACCTTCCACAGTAAACCCAACCCTGAGACCCCAGGACGTCCATGGGTTCTTGGTTGGTATGGGAGCGTCACGCTTTCCATGGTCAAACCATCGAAAGCCAAAGAGACCCAGGGCACCCTGGAGGCAAGCAGGGTGTCTCTTGGTACGGGCTTCCACTCTAGCGAGATCGTATACAGTTTGGCATCGGGCGAGTGGCGCAGAGAGCATGGGTGCAGCCAGAAAGGACGGGGAGAGGGTGGAGAAAGAGAGAGAGGAAGAGAAGGAGGAGGAGGAGGAGGAGGAGGAGGAGGAGGATCCTCCACGATGCTACAATACCCCCCCCCCGTCTCCGGCCCTCATCCCCCAGAATGCCGCGCGAGCACTCCTCCTCGCCGCGGGGAGCGGTTCTTCGTGAGAGGCGATGGCCCGCGGGGGGATGCCTGCGAGTGCAAAGGAGTCGTCCCGCAAGAGCCCTGCTTTGCATAGGCGTCGCCCCTCCGTCTGTGCAGCTGCTGCGCCCGTCCCCCATGAGCGGCCCTCTCTCTCTCTCGGCCGCGTCCTCCGCCTCCTCCCCCCTCGCCTCCCTCGCCTCCCTCGCCTCCCTCGCCTCCCTCGCCTCCTCCTCCTCCTCCTCCTCTTCTTCTTCTTCTTCTTCTTCCAATCCCCTTGTTCCCCTTCCGGGAGGGGTTTACCACTGTTCCCTATCAATAGGCAACCCCTCCCCCAGGCGACCAGCGGCCAACCAGGAACCTTGCTCACCCCCCCACACCATCCCTGTCAAAGAACAACACAAAACGCATTCTGCCTCCACATTTGGAGCATGCACGGCCAACCCGATGCGCCCCCCAACCACCATCCCTGTCAAAAAAAAAGTGCAAAGTACGCTTTGGGGCAAAATCTTGAGTCATGTTCGTGAGGCCCGCGAGCACTTTGCATTGCTTTTGATACGGACCGTGGGGGTGTCAGCATATTGCCTGCTGCGCGCAGGGCTATCATCCCTGACAAAAACAATACAACATGCACCTCGCGGCTAAATCTGGATCATGCGCGGCCACCCCACGGTCACTGTCAAGTGGATTTTGACATGGACGGCGGGGGTTGTGGCGTATGGCCTGCTGTGCGCAGGCCCACCAGACACAATGATGGGCATTGGTTTTCGAAAATGTGTGCTGTTACGTGCGCAGGCGCATCTGACACACTGTACACGTGCCCCGAACGTAGCGCACCTGGCGCGGCTGGAGTATGCGGCACACCTGGCGCACGCGAAGCACGTGGCGCATCTGGCGCACCAGGCGGTCCTGACACGCTCGGGCCCCCGGGGTGCCTGAGCGTGTCAGCACCTGGGGTCGGTTTTGGTTCCCACGACTGCTGAACATGCTCAGGCTCGGGTATTACTTATGTGTTGGGAGGGCGGATGGGAGTGAGCTGGACGACTTGCTATCTAGGGGGTGTCTTGATCGCTGTTCCTTAGTAATATACACCCCCTCCCCCACCCGGCCAGCGTCCATCAGGAACCATGCCGACACCATGCCGACCCGCTCCCCACCATCCCTGTCAGAAAACAAAACAAACCGCACTCTGCCTCCACATTTGGAGCATGCGCGGCCAACCCGATGCGGCCCCCAACCACCATCCCTGTCAAAAACAATGCACAGTACACTTTGGGGCAAAGTCTTGAGTCATGTCCGTGAGGCCCGCGAACACCTTGTATTGTTTTTTACCGGGACCGCGGGGGTGCCAGCATAATCCCTGCTGTGCGCAGGGCTACCATCCCTGTCAAAAAACGATAAAACATGCACCTCGCGGCTAAATCTGGATCGTGCGCGGCCATCCCGCGATCACTGTCAAATTGTTGTTGACAGGGACCGCGGGGGTTGTGGCGCGTGGCCTGTTGTGCGCAGGCCCCCCAGACAGAACGAGGGGCATTGGCTTTCGACAAGGATAATTAGCGGGGGCCGACATGTTTCCCGATGTGTGCTGTGACGTGCGCAGGCGCACCTGCCCCGAACATGGCGCACCTGGCGCGGCTGGACTGTGCGGCACACCTGGCGCAGACGGAGCACGTGGCGCATCTGGCGCACCAAGCGTGCCTGGCACGCTCGGGCCGCAGGGGTGCCTGGCGCGCGTGGCGCCCCTGGCGCACCTCGCCCCAGCGTCGCGCACCTGGGGTCGGCTTTGGTTCCCAGTAGCTGTCCATCCAAAGACGACCGCTGAACATGATCAGGCTCAGGTGTTACTTATGTGTTGGGAGGGCGGGTGGGAGTGAGCTAGACGGCTTGCGGGCGGGTGGGTAGCTTGACCCCTCCCCCTACCCCCTCCCCGGGACCTGGACGGGGGGGGGCGGCGAGGCGTTGGAGCGTCCAAGATGGCCCAAGACGGCTCCAAGAGGGCCCCTGAGTCCCCGATGAGCTCCAAGACGGCGCAAGATAGCGCTCAATGCCTCAAGATGGCTGCCAAGATGCTCCAAGAGGCCCCAAGAACATTCCAAGACGGCTCCAACAGGCCTCCGAGACCTCCAAGGAGGCCTCCAAGAAACCCAAATCAAAAGAATATCAATGATGTGTTTTCTCACCTTTTCGCTTCCGATGGCCATCCGAAGCCTCAAGATGGCTCCAAGATGGCCCAAGAGAGCCCCAGGAGAGGCCCAAGAGAGCCCCAAGACGGCCCCAAGAGCACCCAAGAGCGCCCCAAGAGCGCTCCAAGGGGGGTCCAGGAGGCGATTTTCGGTGCTCCCGAGGGGAGGCTAACTGGAGCTCCCCTCTTATTTGATCGATGACCCCCAAGATTGCGATCCCAAGGGCGCCCCAAGAGGGCCCCAAGAGGCGCCCAGACTGACCCAAGAGGCCTCCAAGAGGCTCCCAAGAGGCCCCATACGAGCTCTCAAGCGGATGCCCGAAGTACTCAACTCTCTCTCCTTCTCCTCCTTCTCCTTCTTCTCCTCTTCTCGTACTCCTCGTCCTCGCCCAACTCCACCTCCAACTCCTCCTCTACCTCTACCTCCTCCTCCTCCTGCGACGACGACGACGACGGCGACGACGACGATTCCTGCTCCATCCTCCCCCTCTTGGGGTATATGACGGTTTTCCCCGCCCTCTGTTCTTCTGCATGCTCCCCCACTTCCCTGATCACCTCAACTCAACTGGGCATCGTTTCTGGATGGGCGGGTGGGGATACTTTTAGTCAGCGGCCGCAGGCGAAGGCGCCGACGGCGTGTCCAGTCAGAGCGGGGCGCGCAAAGACGAATTTACCTAAAGCCAATGGGCCGATGCCTCACGCGGCACCTCGGCGGCCAGGCCGGCGAGTGGAGGCAGGCTGCGACAACCAGGGTAGCAGCACTGCCAGGGTGCACGAATGCAACGAGCTGCAAGGGCTGACTGCCAGGGGGGGCGGCTGCCAGGGCGCGGGTGGGGATACGCGAAACGTCGAATCTGAGCAACAACTGTCTCAACAGAACGCAACGACAACTAACGTACAGTGCTACCAATCGAGTTTGCAAACATGATCACATTTGCAACGACAACAACAACAACAACAACAACAACAACAACAACAACAACAACAACAACAACAACAACAACAACAACACCAACACCAACAGCAACAACAACAACAACAACAGCAGCAACAACAACAACAACAACAACAACAACAACAACAACAACCACAACAACAACAACAACAACAACAACAACAACAACAACAACAACGGGGCGGCCGCGGACCGTCGGCCTGGCCAGCGGCAGCGCTGATCGGCGGGGCGGCCGCGGACCGTCGACCCGACCCCAAGAGGGACGGACAGGGGTCCGACCACGACGACGGCGACGACGACGGCGACGACGACGACGGCGACGACGACGAGCGAAAGCGAGAGCGAGAGAGAACGACAACAGCGCCACAAGGACACGGAGTAGGCCACGAAGGGCGACAGCGGGGACACGAAGAGAATGCGTACGGGGCCATGAAGAGCGCGAACGAGCGGGGGCCACGAAGCTCATACCTATACTGGGCCGCGGAGGGCAAGGACGGAGCCATTGAAGGCAGCAACGGGGCCACGAAGGGCAGCGAGGGGGCCACGAAGGGCGACAGCGGGGCCACAAAGGGCAGGAAGGGGGCCACGAAGGGCGACAACGGGGCCACGAAGGGCATGCGCATAGGGCCACGACGGGCGCGAACGATCGGGGGCCACGAAGGTCAGCGAGGGGGCCGCGAAGGGCTGCAACGGGGCCACGAAGGGCTGCGACGGGGCCACGAAAGGCAGCGAGGGTGCCACGAAGGGCTACAACGGGGCCACGAAACAAAGCGAGAGGGGCCACGAAGGGCTGCAACCTTGCCACGAAGGGCAACGAGGAGGCCACGAGGGGCTGCGACGGGGCCGCGAAGGGCAGCGGGGCCACGAAGGGCTGCAACGGGGCCACGAAACAAAGCGAGGGGGCCACGAAGGGCTGCAACGGGGCCACGAAAGGCAGCGAGATCCCGATTCTTAGGTAATCTGTGAGGGAGTCCTAAACGTGAGCGCGATTCCTGGGTGCCTGGGTGTCGGGAGCGCGGCGCTTGAGTAAATTGCAAGAACTTCCAACGCAAGGACGCTATTCGTCAGCAAGTTGCAAGCAAGTCTCAGCGAGAGCGCGACTCCAGAGCGCCAGGAGAGCGATTCCTGAATGAATTGTGAAGGAAGTCCCAAGCGAGAGCGCGATTCCTGAATAAAATGCAAAGAAAGTCTCGGGTAGTGGCGGGGGTCCTGGCTAAATTGTGAGGAAGTCTCAATCGGGAGCCGTTGTTGTTATAGCTCGCGGGCCAACGACACAGTTAGACGCTCAAGACTTTCCCTGGTAAAAAGCAGGGTGCGAGCCCCGGGAAAGGGCACTTCAATCGAGCAAAAGCAATGTGCACCAGACGGGGGGGATCAACAATAATTATCCTTCAGAAATGAGAGAACAACAACAACAACAAACAAAACAGCAACAACAACAACAACAACAACAACAACAACAACAACAACAACAACAACAACAACAACAACAACAATAACTTTAAGACTGCTCGCCCTTATATGCTCGAGTGTCCAATAATGCGTATTTCCCAAGCCCTCGATACCCGCCCTCGTCGTCTTCGATCGAACCTCTTTTGGGGGGTAGACCTTTCTTCCCTGCAGGCCGGGCCCCGGCAAGCGGCGGGGCGGCCGCGGACCGTCGGCCTGGCCAGCGGCAGCGCTGATCGGCGGGGCGGCCGCGGACCGTCGACCCGACCGCAAGAGGGACGGACAGGGGACCGACCACGACGACGACGACGTCGACGACGACGTCGAAGACGACGGCGACGACGACGACGACGGCGACGACGAGCGAAAGCGAGAGCGAGAGAGAGCGACAGCAGGGCCACGACGGGCACGAAGTAGGCCACGAAGGGCGACAGCGGGGACACGAAGGGAATGCGTATGGTGCCACGGAGAGCGCGAACGAGCGGGGGCCACGAAGTGCAGATAATGCGGGGCCACAGAAAGCAACTATGGGGCCAATGAGGGTAGCAACTGGGCCACGTAGGACAGTGAGGGGGACACACATGGCGACAGCGGGGCCACCAAGGGCATGCACGTGGGGCCACAACGGGCGCGACTCCTGGGTGCCTGGGTGTCGTGAGCGCGGCGCTTGGACAAATTGCAGAAAATTCCCACGCAAGGCCATTCTTCAGTAAGTTGCAAGCAAGTCTCCAGCGAGAGCGCGACTCCAGAGCGCCGGGAGAGCGATTCCTGAATGAATTGTAAAGGAAGTCCCAAGCGAGAGCGCGATTCCTGAATAAAATGCAAGGAAGTCTCGGGCGGGAGCGGGGGTCCTGGCTAAATTGTAAGGAAGTCTCAGGCGGGAGACGTTGTTGTTGTAACCCGGGGGCCAGGGGCCCAGCTTGAGCATGAAGACTTTCCCTGTCAAAAAACAAAGTGCGAGCGTCGAGGGGCACACTTTGACTGAGAAAAAACAGTATGCACCGGTGGGGGGGATCAACAATGATTATTCTTCAGAAGTGAGAACTCAACAACCACAACCACAACCACAACCACAACCACAACCACAACCACAACCACAACCACAACCACAACAACAACAACAACAACAACAACAACAACAGCAACAACAATCATTTTACCCGAACGCTCAGTGTTCTCACCAGTGCCAGGGTTTTCATGCGACGCGAGACAATACCCCCACTTCGTGGGGGGGCAGTTCAAGCTCTACCAAATATCCAAACGACTCTTCGCGACCACCCAAACCCAGCTTCCCGCCCTATGACGTTGGGACACTTCACTTCGTGGCGTGCGGACGACCGTGGCTACTACACTGGCGTGGGGTACACACCCACAGAACTTGGTCACTTATTCGGGGCGCGCGTGTGCCCAGCATCCTGCAATTGTGACATACAATACATGACACAGACAGACAGAGAGAGAGACAGAGAGCAGACAGAGAGAGAGACAGAGAGAGCGGAGTTGGTCACATTTTTGGGGCAAGTTCCTGAGATCGTCGTGTTTTTTGTTGGTCTTGCGCGCGCGAATGTCCACTTTACTTTTTTTTGCAAGGGAGTATTGAAATTTGATTATGTTAGAACAAGAAAAAGTAGCTCGCGCGAGCTCATGTAACATAAATGTTGAAAAACCATTGGTTTTGTGGGAGTCGGACAGCGCGCGCGGGATGAAATTTGGACATTTTTTTTTGAAAAACCATTGGGTTTTTGATGTTTTTATGTTGAAATCGTTACGAAACCTAAGGTTCTGGAAGGATTTCGTCTTGCGCGCGCGAATGTCCACTTTACCTTATTTTTTGCAAGGGATTATTGAAATTTGATTATGTTAGAACAAGAAAAAGTAGCTCGCGCGAGCTCATGTAACATAAATGTTGAAAAACCATTGGTTTTGTGGGATTCGGACAGCGCGCGCGGAAGGACATTTTGACAATTTTTTCTTAAAAAACCATTGGGTTTTTGATGTTTTTATGTTAAAATCGCTACGAAACCTAAGGTTTTGGAAGGATTTCGTCTTGCGCGCACGAATGTCCACTTTACCTTATTTTTTGCAAGGGATTCTTGCAATTTGATCAAGTAAGAACAAGAATTTTCATTTTCTATTGTTTTTTGCAAGGGAAAACGGCGTCAACAAAACAACCGGATCCGGACACAATCCACTTTTCTGAAGCTTTCGCGAAAAAATGATGAAAATGTAGCTGCGGCCTAGGCGCGGCGCAGAGGTCGCGCACCAGGGGTCCCAACAATAATTATTCTTAAGAAGAAATAATGTTCAACAACAACATGACCCACAAAAGTGATGGCGACCGCGGCCTTGGCCACGACCACACCCACAATACTTGCGACCATGAGGGCAACAACCAACACGGTTGACGATGGAAGCAGCGGGCAAAAAAAACGCTGTCGAAGGAGACCGGCCTTAGATCCGAGAGAGGCGTCGAAGGGGCCGAGATTCGAGGCTGCAGCCCGCAGTCGGCCCGCCGACCGGCCACGCGAAGAGCACGGCCGACGGGCGGGAGAGAGCGCCCCAGCCACGTGGGCACGGGAGCAAATCATGAACGGCGGCATGTGCGCGGCCCAGCGGGGGGGCCAGGGACGTGATGAAATAAGAAGAGGCGCCATGAGATCTGGGGAAGTATCCTGGCCCCCGCCATGATATCCACCTCCCCCCTAGTCATCACCCCCCCGTCTTTTCCGCTCCCGATGGGCGGGTGCCTTGCGCACCTCGCTCAGAGCCTCCCGGACCTGCTGCACCGTGCACGAGCCGTCGGTGACGAAGGCGAGCCAGGAGGAGAGCTCCAGGTCGTCCTGCGCGGGACGAGGAGAGGGACGCTGATCGCAGGCCGAGGGGGAGGAGGAGGAGGAGCAGGGGGAGGAGGGGGAGGAGGAGGAGGAGGAGGAGGAGGAGGAGGAGGAGGAGGAGGAGGGGGAGGAGGAGGAGGAGGAGGGGAGGAGGGGGAGGAGGAGGAGGGAGGAGGAGGAGGGAGGAGGAGGAGGAGGAGGAGGAGGAGGAGGAGGAGGAGGAGGAGGAGGAGGAGGAGGAGGGAGGAGGAGGCAGGAGAGAGGTGCCTGCGCGGGCGCGCGGCCGTGGGCGCGGAGGCCGGCCGGGGAGGGGCGCCCTGCCTCTCTCTCCCCGTCCCCCAGCGGGAGGAGAGGGCGGCCGGCCGAGCAGCAGGGGGAGAGAAAGAGAAGGGAGGAAGGAGGGAGGGGGGAGAGAGAAGGGAGGAGAGAGAAGGGGGAGAGAGAGAGAGAGGGGGGAGAGAGAAGGGAGGAGAGAGAAGGGGGAGAGAGAGAAGGGAGGAGAGAGGGAGGGGGGCGGAAGAAGGCGCCCTGCGCGGTCGCCGCCACCGCTCGGGGCCACACGGCCTGGCCGAGCACGCGAGCACAGAGCTGTGCAAGAAGGGCAGGGGGGGTAGAGGGGGGGGGGGCGGCGCACTGGTCAGGGACGTCGTCGTACCGAAACTTCCGCGGGGGAGACCTCACTGGTTGAACTTGCAGTGGCGGCGGAACCCACGTTGCGCCAACAGAGGCGAAACTTCACCGACATGGTAACTAGCGTGGACCCCGGACAATGTGTTTCTAGCGTATGTTTGCAATCTACGTGGCGCAATCTGCGAGATGCAATCGATGTTATGTACAATATGTGTTGTTGTGCGGGCGATAGATCAATCCAGATTCATGTGCAATGCCGGCTAAACGAGAGTACTACAATCTGTGAGCTGACAAGGACTAACACATGACAGCGGCTGTCAAGACACGGGGCAGACAGCTAAGGTGGAGGGGGGGAGGAGGACAGGAGGGGGAGGGGTGGGGCAAAAACAGCAGGCGCAAAGATTGAGTGAATGCTCCCCGCCTTGTTTTCCAAATTGAGCACTGGCGAAAAACGGCGGTCACGCTTGAGGCGCAGTTTACTCTTCACCTGCAGTCCGTGCGACCTCCGATGTTTCAGTGGTTAGGACAAGCACTGAAAAACGCAGAAACCATGGACGGATCACTTGCGCGCCGCCTCCAGTCCGTCACGCCGCGGCCGGGAGGGCATCCCGAAGTCCTTCCTCCCATCTCCGCTGCGGGCGGGCACGATTGACCCGGGCGCGAGCGAGATTCGTTGACGGAGGAAGCCGCGGGGCCGCGACCAGGCCCATGGTGAAGGGGCCCAGGGACACACAAATAAATACACACAAGTGAAATGATCCCTCATATGTTCTTATAGTTTCTGGGTTTTTGTCATCCCCCCCACTTCCCATATTTTTCCATATTTTCCTGGGAGTGGTCGATTAATTTTGTCTGTGTTTTTTCCCCTCCTGAGGGTTATTGTGCCGCTTGACGTGATCGTGCCACGACATCGGGGAGCGCGCCCAATCACGGTTCCGCTTGCCGAAGGTCGCCGCGTAGTGGCCGTCGATGCTCCGGCGGCGCTGCACATGCGCGGCCGGGGACTCAGGAGTCCATGGGCCGCACGCCTGCTACGATGTACGACGTGTCGTGCTGGATGCCATCGATTCTGTCGGCGGCGCCCCTCTGGAAAGGCTACCGGGGCCACCGGAAAAACGCGATGGGTTTGAGGGAAGTCTGTATGAAACCTGCTATTGCGCGGATGGGGGCAGTCATGGAATTTGTGGACACGCAACCTCAGAAAACCCTGCACATCCTGTGGGTAAGCAAGTCTACGCAGGTCGCACTACCACCGTCGTCGTCAAGCTGACGTCTGAACCGTTGGATGGCCGTCCGCCGCTGCCAGTCGCGATCGACGGCGACGTCGTTTGGGTTGCTCAGGTGCGTCATGCACTCGACCTAGTCTTAAGTCGGGCCTGTCCCCATACAGCGGGATTTTCGACGATAAATAAATTATCCCAGCAAAACAACCTAACAGCCATGTGTATGAGCATATATGGAAGCATTCTTCTTCATAGTCATGTTCGGATTTGACTGGAAGCGAAACGCTGCGATCAATACTGGACGTGTCTGCAAAGGAGGCACTACTATCAACGGGACGCTGCTATGCAGGGGTGTAGGTGCAAACGAAACGCTGCTATCAATGGTTTCCGCCCCGAACGAGACACGAGTATCAGTGGATTTAATTTCGAACGAGACACTACTACTTACTACTACGGATGCGTCTGGAAACGAGACGCTGCTATCAATAGTGGATGTCTCTGCAAAGAAGGCACTGCTATCAACGAGACAGCACATTGTTTTTGTGTTCATTCCAAACGAGACGCCGCTATCAATGGATGTAAGTTCAAACGAGACACTGCTATCAATGGATTCAGCCTCAAACGAAACGTGCTGAGGAGCACCGTATCTCACTATCCACGGCTGCACACGAGTGCAGGTTGAGAAGCACCACGCGAATGCAGGCTGAGAAGAACCACGCGAATGCAGACGGCCAGGCTGAGAAGGGCCACGCGAATGCAGGCTGAGAAGAACCACGCGAATGCAGACTGAGAAGGACTACTACTACTACTACTACTACTACTACTACTACTACTACTACTACTACTACTACTACTACTACTACTACTACTACTACTACTACTACTACTACTACTACTACTACTACTACTACTACTACTACTACTACTACGACTACTACTACTACTACTACTACTACTACTACTACTACTACTACTACTACTACTACTACTACTACTGCTACTACTACTACTACTTACTACTACTACTACTACTACTACTACTACTACTACTCTACTACTCCTACTACTACTACTACTACTACTACTACTACTACTACTACTACTACTACTACTACTACTACTACTACTACTACTACTACTACTACTACTACTACTACTACTACTACTACTACTACTACTACTACTACTACTACTACTACTACTACTACTACTACTACTACTACTACTACGACTACTACTACTACTACTACTACTACTACTACTACTACTACTACTACTACTACTACTACTACTACTACTACTACTACTACTACTACTACTACTACTACTACTACTACTACTATTACTACTACACTAACTACTACTACTACTACTACTACTACTACTACTACTACTACTACTACTACTACTACTACTACTACTACTACTACTACTACTACTACTACTACTAAATTTCCCCAAGGGGGTCGTCGGAGACGCCAAAGGCGTTGAAGTCCGAGGAGGAGAGGTGAAGGAAAGAACGGAGAGGGAGGGCTCGGAGGCCCCTGGAGGGGGGGATGTGCCCATCCGAGGGGACGGTGCACCCCCCCTCCCCGTCGTGAAAACGAGGCACCAGCCGTGGCAACGACCCCCCCCCCTATCCCCCCCCGCGACCTGAGTAGACCACCCAAGCCCGCGGGGAGCGTCATAGGGGGCGGGGATTCTGACGTCGATGAAAGAAGAAGGAGGAAAGCGGGAGGCAAGGAACAGGCAGACGAAAGCCCTTTTAGGCTTTACCCGGCGTGTGGGCATGCCTTTTTTGGCTGTTGCGGGGGCAAGCCCGCGCGGTCGCCCGCAAGCGACAGGGCGCCCTGGCCCTCTTCGTAAGCGCGAAGGCGCGGCGTATTTCATGCGCACGATTGCCCGCTGAAGCGCCCCGCGGCACGACAGCGACGGTAAGAGGACAAATTCGGTGACGCTGGAGCCCCTAATGCGACGAGGAAGCTACAAATGCATCTTCTGCAACACTGGAGCTCCGCAGGACAAGTCAGCTCAGCCTGCCTCAGCCTCAGCCTGCGTCAGCCTCAGTCTCAGCCTCAGCCTGCGTCAGTCTCAGCCTGCTGCGCTCCCGCATACCCCTTCGGCGTCAGCCTGCCTCAGCCTCAGCCTGCATCAGCCTCAGCCTCAGCCTCAGCCTCAGCCTGCCTCAGCCTCAGCCTGCTGCGCTCCCGCATACTCCTGCGGCCTCAGCCTGCATCAGCCTCAGCCTGCATCAGCCTCAGCCTCAGCCTCAGCCTCAGCCAGCCTCAGCCTCAGCCGCACTTCCGATGGCGCCGAGGTGGCGCCCGTGCGTACCTGCACCCACGGAATTCACCTCCGATGGCGCCGAGGTGGCTCCCGTGCGTACCTGCGCGCACGGAACGCTTCTCCGATGGCGCCGAGGTGGTTCCCGTGCGTACCTGCACGCACGGAACGCACCTCCGGTGGCGCCGAAGTGGCTCCCGTGCGTACCTGCACGCACGGAACGCACCTCCGATGGCGCCGAGGTGGCTCCCGTGCGTGCCTGCACGCACGGAACGCACCTCCGATGGCGCCGAGGTGGCTCCCGTGCGTACCTGCACGCACGGAATGAGTTCCGCCGGATTCTCCCGGTTTCTGCCGGCTTCCGCCCGGACCCCCCTGGAGTGTCATGATGCTCTCTTTTGACCCTACTAGAAACCTATCAGCACAAGCTGTTAGGTAAAAATACACCAAAAATAATTCAAAAACAATCCAAAAATATTCGGGGGACTATTTTTGAAGTATTTTTTGGCCTTTGGTGGGCATTTTTGGGGTATTTTTTATTTCTCGTCGAAAATCCCCCTGTAGGGGGACACGCCCAACTCAAACCTAGTCCTGGCTGGGATCCAGACCAGCAGCGCTTCAAGTGCATCCCGCAGTCCATGATAACAGGGGTCGCAGGCTCCGGGGAGCGCCGGACAGACACCGGAATGACAACGGTGGTGGCGACAGCACAGGCACACCCCCTCGACCGAAAGGCAGCTTCGACGCCACGTGCCGGAGCTGCACGGCGGCGCGCCCAGCAAAAAAGAAGCCGCGAGGCGGCTGGCGCCGAGCGGCTGCAAACATCGAAGTGTCCATAGCGGGGTTGCGCCAATGCGCCTCGGGCGCGCT